AGGATTTTGCTTCTGTTTGTATGTATTGCTCTGACATAGGTGTAAAGTAAAACATATACTCAAAACCAACTCGCTGAGTCTGTCATCATTCCTCCCAGGTTAAAGACCATCAAGTGCTTGTGACATTGTGTGTGTGTGTGTGTGTGTGTGTGTGTGTGTGTGTTTGTGTTCTCACACGCCTGCCATGTACTTTTTATTTTTAGAGCTAGGCCTGGGGCTCTCTCATTAGACTTGGCAGGCTAGCCTGAAAGCCGGAGATCCTCCAGTGTCTGCCTCCCCAGTGCTGGGATTAAAAGCACATACCACTATGCCTGGGTGCTGAAGATAAGAACCCAGGTCCTCATGTTGACTGAGCCATCTCCCCAGCTCCCACAACTATATTCTTAATGCAAAACTTGGAGTGACTAGGTGCTAATCCCTAAGTTTTTTTTTTTAAACCTAGGTATGACTTTTACAGAAAGTTGGGCACCTGCAGTGAGTGCCTGCAAAATCCATTATATTACTGCTTAAGTAGTATTTCTGCCAATCTTTATTTTTAATATTGTGGTTAATGTTTTCTGCAAAAGAAATGTCACATAGCCCACACAGGTTTGTTGAAATCTCCAGTATCACATTAAAATAAAAGTGAAGTTAAACAGTTTCCCTCAACTCAACAGCCCCGGACTCAGCTGTAAGGCACTGATTGGAAGTCTTCAGTTTGTGTTTAGATTTTATAAGATGTATTTGAAACAGTAGACTCATCTATACATGAAGTCACAAACTAAATATTTCCCACTGAGGGTCAGATATCAACTTACGAAATCATATCTAAATTAATTACAGTTTAATAAAGTTGAAAATTCAATTCTTAAGTTGTACTGGTTATGTTTTAAGTGTTGAAATGCTCTATGTTGCTGCCAGTGGTTTCTCTGTTGTAAAATATAGCTGTAGATTGTTATTAAAGCCACACACCTAGGTAATGTGCCTGTGTGCTGCTTTTGTATTCTCTCAAGCTGCTGTTTTGCAGTAGAATTGGTCTGTGTTGTTAAGGCCTTTCAGAAACTGTGTTGTTCATTAGTTCGTTCTATCACGATATCATGATATGACACCATGACCAACGCAACTTATAGAAGAAATAGTTTATAGGGGACTTACAGTTTCTGAAGGTGAGTCCATGACTGTCATCTGTCATGACAGGGACCATGATAACAGGCAGGCAGGCATAGCACTGGAGCAGTAGCTGAGAGCTTGCATCTGATACACAAGCATGAAGCAAAAGAGAGAAAATGAGAGAAAACTGGGTTTTAAATGGTCAAAGTTTGCCCCCAGTAGCACACCTTCTTCAGCAAGGCCACACCTCCTAATCCTTCACCAACAGTTCCACCAACTGGAGACCAAGTATTCAAATATATGAGTGTATGAGAATCATTCTCTTTTAAACCACCGTATTACTAAGGAAAAATAATGTATATATTGGTATTGTGTTTCACCTAAGTCCTGTTTCTTGCTTCATAGTGAATCTTGAACTTTACTACCCTGGGTGTTCTGTCTGGGACCTCTTCTTTCCCTCATCATGTCCCAGAGATGGGTTCTTTGCCTCCAGAACACATCCTTTCTAGATTGGGTAATATATACGCCTTTCTCTGTAAGGCTGGTTCTGTGAGAGAAATAAGTATTTTTGTTCCCCTGATATATGCATAATGTATGGCACAGGCAAGTATGCAATGTGTAATGGATAATATATAGTTACCAGCACAGGACAAGTAGGAGATATGTAATAGATAGTAATAGAAATAATGACACAGGGCAAGCGTGACTATATCATAATCATGCATGGTCACAGGGTTAGTTAGGAATAGGTAATAGATGCTATGTAGCTAACAGCAGTGACTAGGAGAGTGTCTGATTTTTACCTATATTAAAGATGGAGTTTGGTTCTGGTCAAGAGAACAGAAATAATTTAGGGATTCTGTGCAATAAAAGTATGCAGGAAAACCTCCTGTGTTGCTTTATCTGTGTTCATTTTCTAGAAGTGTCTGTCACTTTATCTTTGCCTGTGCATGACTTGTAATGTACTATGCCGAAGACAAAGAAATGAAGTGTATTGTGAAATGCTAAGGAGCTGAGATGCACAGCCCAAAGACAAATGGGTGCAGAGGAGGCGTCTCCTGGTGTTTCGGGACAGCCAAACAAACCCACCCCTTCAATTATAACGGAGTAATGAGCCTACTCCACAGCATGTGGAAATATAATTAGAAATGTACTGTAGGCCAGCAGACCAGGTGTCAGGTCATTATCTGAATCATAAAGTTGGAAGTTATGCCCATTAAGGGGTTACTAGTTTGGAAAAGGTTAGATTAGAATGCAAGAGTCTTGGAAAATAACAATTTTTCCAATTCAAAGGATACTTCAGAGAACCTCCAGCATTTGACTTTCTGTTGTAACTTTCCATGGAAGTGTAATGTGCACACAGGAATGTGCAAATGAGGACACAGCTCGGGAGGGCACAGCTTGATGGATTTCTCCATAGGTCAAGAAGGACTTCGTCACCTTGACCAGCATCCCGGGGTCACTCTCTTGCTACTTCCTCTTCCTCTCCCAGCCCCTGCACCCCATCTTGACTCACAGAAGTGTTTCCTGTTTTTGTACTTTATATAATGGAATCTTGCAGTCCCACTCTTAACCCAGTATAATGGGTTATCATCCCGAGTGACATTCCTGATGGTGGACTCCCTAAAAACAAATCCTGTTTTCAGATTTCCCTATGACAGACCTGAGTTGGTAGAGGCAGTTTCCTGTTGTTTCTAGATCTTTGTTTTTCTCTTTAAGGTGTGTGTGTGTGTGTGTGTGTGTGTGTGTGTGTGTGTGTCTCGCTGGCTGTGTGTCTGTGTGGTTA